AGTGAATCAGCCCTTCATGGTCGAATTGCTGCAAAAAAAGACAATAGTGAGGAACAACAATAACAAGAAGAGACTTGCTAAGGCCAAGAAACACAAGGAATGGACATTAAACCGATGACAATCTGTACGTTGGCCTGATGAGTCCAAATTTGAGGGTTTTTGGTTCGACTCGCCTCGACGCAGAAAAGGTCAGCGGATGGTTTCTTCATCCATGGATCGTGGAGGAGGTGAGATGGTGCTTTACTGGTGACACTTTTGGGGATTAATTCAAAATACAAGGTATACCTAACCAGCAGGGCCACCACAGCGTTCTACAGCGACATGCCATCCCATCTGGTTTGTGCTTAGTGGGACCACCATTCCTATTTCAAGAGGACAATGACCCCAAACACACCTGCAGGCTCTGTAAGGGCGATTTCTTAAACCCATTTGAGATTGGGGCCGAGGAGTGAAGGCAAAATAGCCAACAAGTGCTCAGCAATCCTGTTACAATGTGGAATGCGTAGCAGCCAAACGGCTAAAACCAGAGTTAATACTTTACTTTGTCAGGTAGTCTGGAACGTGAAGGCCAATTAGTGTCTGCTTGATGCATTTATATTTGCACGTATCAGAATATGTCTTGGCTGACAGCAGTATCCTCCTGAGGTTTTGACACTTTGAGGTTGCCAGGCAACCAACGGCGTGTTCAGCAGAAAATGGCAAAGTCATTTCACTCAGGGGTAGGCAACCTTTCAGGCACAAATGCGACCATTGGTACCCTGTAGCTTAACCAAAGGCACTACAAGTGCTCTCTCATCCGCAGAAATCCGCTCTTTCACTACCCTGACAGTAGTTTTAGTGATTTCTTCCCTCACCTGCATCCGATTGGCCTCTGCTTGTTGCTTTCTTTGCATAGTTTGTATTGTGAATCGCTGAATGATGATAGAGGTGAAAAGTTGGTAGCCGTTGCACTATAACAATAATATATAATCCCATTAAGCACAATGTGCTGATACGGGAGACATTGATTTTAAAGGTCGCAGTACACAGATGGATTTAAATTACACATCCTTTGCAAATTTACATTTTGCTGTGCCATGATTATTAATAAACTGTATCCAAGTGGTTTAAAAAATTTTTTAAAAGTCTAAAGTTCAGGTGAACAAAAAAACAGTACTTTTTGTTTGTTTTCCTAGTTTTTAATCTCTGCTTTTAAGCGATGCCAATACCTCTTTATATCCAATTGAATTAATGCCCAATCTCTCAAATGAACAGGAAACATCAGTCATATGTGCGGTTAAAAGCAGTACTTCATACTCTAACCTGCAATTCTCTTGTAGGTAAAGATTTCTCAATAAAACAGTAATTACTGAGTAAAATCCCAGATGTCCCATTATATGCTCGCCGCAATAAGAGCAGATGATTAATCGTACAAACAGTTGCTCATTTTAAATACATCCGTAATGCCTTTAGAGGCAACATATCACTTTTCCACATCCTGTGCTTGATGTATAAACTTTTTACGTTGCTCTTGGACCCTTGTAACGTGAGAGGCCCATCAATTCGAGGTGTGAAGTCTGTGTGTGTGTGTGCGTGTGTGTGGGTGTTTTTCTGAGGCCATCTCTGCGGGAGTCAAATCCGGAATAGGGTCAGGCGATGTCGTAATTCACCCTGGTTCACCTCCCACTGTGCAGAAAGCGCGGTAATAAATTCAGAGTTAGGGACCTTGCACATCCTGCCTGTTCCCGTTGTCGGAGCTTGTTTTTATCCCCACTAACCCTCCTCTATTCATCTTGCCCTCCTCAAGAGGAAATATACTTTTTTTGTAGATCTCTCAATCTCTGCTCTTTGTCTGAATTTTACCCAATTTCCAGGCACCAAGAATCAATCTTTCCCTCTTTGCGATGTTCTACTTTCCGCCTCCCTTTTGTTCACCTCTTTTCCCAGCGTGGTACGGGCAAGTGCAGATGGACATTAATCTGCCACTGATGAGCCCCACTCACCGAGACAGCTCATGGCTGCTTATCAGGCATCGGGTAAGATGGGGACGGTCACCGGTGCCAGCGACGTTTCAGCAGGAGGACGATGGAAAGACTCGGGTAAAAAGCACTCTCATTACCATTCACAGGACTCCTGAAGAGTAGAAGCCCGTCTCATTTAGAACGATGACTGAAATGGCTTTTTTTTTCAGTTTTACAGTACACTTGGATTTCTATGATGAAGTTACACAAAAATGAAATATTGTTACAGCAATCTGCTAAAGCTCTTACGTGTCTTCTTTCTTAGAACTTTACCGTGATCTTTTTTTTCTTCCCCTCAGTTCACACCTGCATTTGCATTAGAGAACATGACTTTTTCATGTGAACTTCTTCGTATGGATTTCTAGGATTTAAGAAGAAGCTCTATGGTAACACACGTTCAGCATCCCGCACAACAAGCGAAGACAAATGCCAAGGGCACACAGTTTTTCCCTCCATCCATCCATCCTTGTACACGCATCCCTTTTTATTCGGAAAAATCTCAACTCGGTACTTAACCTCCAATTTGCATAAGTCATCATGGCCGAGGACTGCGGAGGCTATAAATCCTGCAAAGTGTTCATCCATCGTTGTAAATTTTAAAAAGCCCAACTAATTTTTTTAAATATCTTTGACTAATGGGGACATAAAAAACATCCATCACTGTGATATCATTAATACATTTGATGAGTCGAGCAGTTTCTACTTGGTTCAATGGAAGAAGAAAAGCACCTGACTGGTAAAGGAATCTGAAAGTCAGTGAATATAAATTAAATTGATTCGGATATTTATTTCCCAGTATTTACTCATTGGCCGTTGGATTAATTCCACTATTCCGCCTCGGGGAGAACAGTACTTTCTTATTAAACACGTTCTCCTCCTGCCAGCATCAATTACAGCAAATGTTTGTTTTTCCGAGTGGGAAGCAGGGACATCTCTCCTGCTCCATCAACGAAAAAGGAGACCAGAACAACACTGATCTCACCTCAGTGAAAACAGGAAACTCGATAACCGCGCTGCTGCCTTTTTTTTTTTTTTTTTTTTTTTTTTTAGAAAAACATAGGTTTTCCTCCAGCACCCCTGACAGATGCTGATGTTAGAGTGTTTGAGCACAGCTGGGACTGGAAAGCAGGCCCACTGTGGCTCTCGGCGTGTCTCTGTGTGTGTGTGTGTGTGTGTGTGTGTGTGTGTTTTGTGCGCTAGACGGGCAAGTCATCAACGCCACATCAAAAGAGCTGAGTTGACATTGTCGGGTCGTCGTTGGCGGTGGACTGAGAGACGGCAGAGACGGAGCGGAGGTTTCCTTTTTAATGATAAAACACAGGTGAGAACTTACGCTTTTTGCTGACTGCACCGAGGCAGGCAGACGTCGGCGCTGTAGAACCGCTTTCAAAGAAACGTCTCGCCAACGGTGCTGTTTGGAAATCCACAACAGGGATGGTGCGAAAAGATGGATGAATGGCTTTCGTCATTTTTGGTCAAGTTTTATAGAAACGGACACGCGGCTTTCTACAAAATCTACAGGCTGGAAAAAAAAGATGTGCACCCCAAATACCTTCCTTGCCTCTCTACAGCTTGCACACAGGGATGTTTGCATCAGTTCTATCTCCCAAAGTTTTGCCGTCAGCGGCAAAAACTAACCCCCAAAACTGCCACTATGTTGCCAGAACTCCAGTCATTGCGCACACACCTAAGAACTTATTGTCAGTCCTCCAAATTAAGGCACACAGCTCGCGGCGCTCAGGGGAGGGCGAGCGCGGAAGGTTCCACTTAATTTCCTCATCATCACCACTTGTACTTTCTGCACCAAGAAGCTGAATGTTAAGCAGGTAGGTTTCTCAAAAAAAAAAATCTCTGAGCTCATTGACATCGAGTGCATCTCCCCACTCGGCTCACTCAACACTTCCGTAATAACCGTCATTACCTTGAGCACACATCTTTCTGCTTCATTTAAGCCGTCCTCAACAAGGGGCATCTATCACGAAGGTGCTACCGCTCTGCGGTCGCGCTGACCTCCGGCGCTCTGATTTATTCCCAACGACCTCGTCGTGTTTTGCTCATCGCTGCGGGACAAGAAAAAACATTTTAATTATGAAGACACCATTTAAAGCTTCGTCAGTCCCGGGTGGTCGCCGGACAGGGCGACAGGCCGTCCGTCTTACAGTTGGGATGCTTTTTTTTTTACACCGGAGACGAGGGCATGATAATTGGATAGGTAAATAAAGGCAGCACAGCTCAAGGTGTATTTTTTTTTTTATTGTCCCTACAGAATGCATTGCAAGTTGTTGGAATTTCCACCACAAATTGGGAGTCTCGCATTAAATGGAGGCCGCGTATCCTGTGTGTGTGCGTGTGAGAAGACATAGGTGGGGCCGCGAGAGGCGCACACACACCTTCGTTATTTTGATTTCGTCCTCCTCTGCCCCCGGCGGCCTCGACACTGAGAGATGAGGGCGAGAGGAGACGCGGCCAGCTGCGCCTGGACAAACACGAGGACAGCGCTGCCGTGGACAGCAGTGGATTAAACCAATTATTCACCATCAGGCATTGTTTTCTGCGACAGTAGAGGTTTTGTTTACCCACCCCCCCTCCCCCCTGCTCAAACATGTAGCGAGCGGGGGTCTTGTCTACGGTGAAAGCAGCAGAGATTGTAAACATGTTTTTTTTCCTCCCCCCTCCCCCTCCCATCCCTACGAGAGGATAAATAAAAAGACTGCTGTTAGAAGATTTAATTGCAAGGCGCCCTTCTCTAAGGCCCCGCTGCGCTAAGAAGCCCACTGCGAAAAGCCTTCAATTAGCAGAATTGCGCCTTCATCTTGCGACCAAAGTCACCTTGAACAATCAAATTATCTCCAAAGTTCTACGAAACAATCTCTCCCGATCAATCGGGGAGATTTGCCCGCATGCTCATTCACACCCACACGGCCCAAATACATTTGGGAAAAGGTTATCCAGGGGCGCACCTGTGTGCACAATTAAAATGAAAACCACAGACAGCAGCAATTTACTCCAAACGGTCTTTTAATTCGTGATCACACCAGGCGCAGCTGCGTTGGTTTTAACCACAGTTTGGGAGATTTCAGTCGGGTTTGCAGGACTTAGAAAAAGTAGAAAAAGTCACTGCTCTCGATGCTGGCAGCCTGCTCAGTATGCGGTGGCCAAAAAAAGCACAAACAAAGTCGGTTAAACAAATTGCTCGGGTCGGAGATGCGCGTTGCTGCTGCGAATCCCTCCCTGCGGGCTCAAAATTGAACAACCGTTCTCATCTCCGAGGACTCGAAAAGATGCAACTTTCTTTTTAGGGTTGCATGTATTAAAAATGTGTCTTCATTACCTCCAAAAGCAAGATTTAAAAAAGTACCCCATACCCCTCAGACGGGACTAACCGCAGAGGTTTGTCTGCACTAACCTCTCCAGCCCTTCTGCTCTGACCAAGCTTATTCCCGTGTAAAACAGCAAAGCGTCAGCATGCTCAATTCCAGCGTCGGGTGGTGTAAACTACCTCCTGGCCTCCGCATTTCACAATGTTACTGTTTGAGAGGCAACAGCGGAGCGTGCTGATTATTAACTTCCTCGTGGATGCTCCAAAATGCTCTGATCCAGACGTCTGCCATCAGCCCCAGATGTCCTGCAAGTAGCGCTTCTCCTCTCGCAGCGCCGCCAGCGTCTTCATGGCCTCCAGTTGGTCCACCTGCAGCTCCGTCTGGATCATCTCCATCAGAGCGTTGTTCACGTCTTTAGCCATGTTCTTAGCATCTCTGGGAGGGGGAGGAGGGGAGAAAAGAGCGGGATTATATATTCAGAGCAGAGGGCCGCGCGATCTATAAGACATGTTTTCAAGGATGTCCGATACGCGAAAAGCACAGCGGCTGTTTAGTAAAAACCAGCAGGTGCTGCCAGCCAGAAGTGCATCCTGCGAGGAAATGACTGAAATCTCTATTTTACTGTTGCAGCATATCGGGAAAAATTCATCATCTTGTGGACCTAGAGTGATGTTGTTTTGACTCGGAGGAATTGACACAGTTCTGAGGTTTCAAAGCATCGCCTCAAAAAGGCGAGTCGAGCGACCTGCCGGTGACGATAAGAGAGAGGAAGCTAAAGGAAAAAGGTGTTTGCTCAGCCATCCGGGGCGCCGACAGGACTTGACTGCCGTGTTCCGTGCACGTCGTCTTTGCAACCGACAGCCGCCACTGTCGCCACGCGGGGGAGCGAAAAAATGCTACGTTTGCTCCAAACTGTGAGCGGCGTTGCAGCAACATGAGGTCGGCAGTGGCGAGAGACGTCACGCGAGGCACCTTTTTCGTTAAGGAGTAAGTGCCTTGCTCTGAAAGCAGAGGTAGTCATTGACCTCCACGTGAAGCCGGCAGCTGCTATTGGTTCACGGCCACGTCATATCTCCTCTGCAGGGAAACATGGACTTCTGTCCCTCCCGCCTCTTATAGTCAACTTACATCGGTTACGTTCGTAGGTAGCCGAAATATGGGGTTCGTTTTCATTTCATGATCAATGACCAAAATACGTACGGCGATAAGATGTTTTGTTTCCAAAATACGTACGCCAATGACCAAAATACGTACGCCGATAAGATGTTTTGTTTCGCCTTCACTGAAAATACAAATATATTTGTACCCTCTCATGCTTAAAGTAGTTCTTCAATTTCAAGTGTTTCACGTAGCTACGCACTCTCAAGACTAAAATGATCTGGGAAACCTGCCTTGATATCAGATGTTGATAAACACAGGCCCTATAAGACTCCACGCTACGTGTGAATGTAGTAAATGTAATCTTTGGTGGTTAAATACTCTACACTGCCAAGAAAAGCAAGACCCAGTTATCGCGATAAATTCAAACCGACGGCTGATTTTTTGTCACTGCCTTACCCGCAGACGTAGAGGTAACCGCCGCGTCGGAGCAGGATGTCGGTGACGGGCCGGCTGGCGAGCAGCAGGTTGTGCTGCACGTATCTGGGTCGCGCTGACGAGGCGCCGGCCTCCTCCTCCTCGTGGTCATCTCTGGAGAAACACACCTTCAGTTGGCTCAGCGTACCGCTGGACACAAAGCCTTCCAGCTCCTCCCTGGAACAGAGCGGGTGGATCCCAAAAGTCTGGTCAGTACTGGCTGGGCTTTTACGTAGAACCAGGAGAGCCACAATTCAGTTCAACGACTCGCATGACCGTGATTTCACGGGGAAAGAAACGCATGAGACCGGGAAACGACGGCATAAACTGCTGGACTGGACATCAAAGCGACGTTCTTGTCTTTTCACGTCGTTTAGCAACAGCTTCAACCGCGATTCAAGAACTCGTACCGCATTTCCAGAGAACAAAGTGCATTCTGCTCCATCGGCGCGGAAAAGGTCTCAGCAAAACTCTGCCGAACAACTCATTTATCTTGTTTAACAGGAAAGGTGCAAAAAAAAATTATGCATTCAGGCAAGGTCGGGTGACTGTTCTAAGCATTCTTTTATATTTGTTTTATACAATAAATCCCCCCCCCCCTGCCTGGTGCTGGGGTGTAACCTCGCTCCCTGTCGGTGGTTTGCTTGCCAACTTCTCCTCCTCCTGCCGCAGTGTGGTTTTGCAGGGCCCGAGGAGCTATTGCCGGATAAAGGAGGAGGTGAGGGAGTGAAGTTTACAGAGACTCAGAGCATCTTGTATAAAGTTAAGCAGTCAGAAGGAGAAGAAACACACATAGACACTCGTAACGAGCCGCGCGGCTCGGAGATCACGGGTGAAGGTCTTTGCCTCGGGAGTCTGGGTTGTGCAGCAACCTCCACACTAAAATAAGGTTGTTGTTTTTTTTATAAACACACATACGCCGCGCTGTAAATACTAAAAGGAACTTCCATGTGAAACATCCAGAGCTGCTCCTAAACTCTTTACTGTTTAACCTTTTGATTCGAGAAGGAGTGATTAGAAAAAATATTCTGTGTATGTATCAATAAGGTGTGCGTTTCTGCTAATTGTGGATCTCATTACTGGCAGAAAAACACAGCTGACAACCTTTAAGCTAAACTAATTGAAGGGGTGGAGACTTTACTGGGGAAGTGTCCCTGCACTCATTAGTAAAGCAATTATATAGAATATATATATATATATAGATATAGATATATATCTATATATATATAATTATAGTGGTGGTTTCATAAGCACTGTATGGAACCAATACCAGGCAAAATCAAGTCGTCATGTCAACTTGATTTTGTAATTGAAATACATTTGCATTGTGTGTCATGAAAAACCACAAATGTGTTTGACGTCTTGATCTCTAGATCCGCCGTTAGCAGAAACTGGAGGATGACAACAGGAGTATTTGTGAGAACAAAAACCAGCCGGACTCCCCGGTGGGTTCACGGGTTTATACGCGCACACAAGGACACTTTAACCGACACACGTCGGTGCGGCAGCCACGGCGTCGCGTCGATGCCGTCATCGTGTCCCGTTAGTGACGGCGTCCGAGAAGCTGGGCCGAATGAGTCCACTGGGGATTAATAAAGCTTTTGCTGTCACCTGGCCAGGCTCTATTGAAACAATATGGTTATTCTGTGCGCTGTCCCAGTACCTTTAACCTGTATGGATAAACACATGAATCCCAGACTCTAAAGGCAAACCCAGCAGGCCTCCCAGTCGTGTTTTCTCCTGCGGCATGAAACCACTTCGCCATCAAGAGGCTGAGAAATTGGGAGGGCGGGAAAAGGAGAAGTGCAGCAGGGAAGAGTGCAGAAGAAGTTTGACGTGACACGCTGGCAGATTGGCATCAACCACTCGCAGGGTTGTCAAGCGCTGCAGGTGATTGAGGCGACGCGAGGTTTGCTTGTTTTTGCTGAAAGCCCAGAACACTAAGAGAGACTGGGTCACGACATGTTGTGATACTCAGTAGCAGTCAAAAGTTTGGACACATTTTCCAATTCAGCTCAATAAGGGAAACTTTTGGGTATATGAACATATTTGGATGAAATACTCAGATTTCCCTCCACAATTTCTTGATCTCTTGATTCTCGCTGAATATTTATTTTCAAAGAAATCTACAAAGTTGAAAAGAAAAAAAAAAGCTCAGCTATGCTAAGCAGGGTTTTTTCAATCCCAGGCAAAGGCAGACGTCAGATCGCATTTACCTTCAGTGAAATCCAACAAAGACGAATGCAGCCCGGGCAAATTAACTGCCGGCAGGATGTTATTCTTCTGCAAACCTACCTAAAATCGAGTGCAACTCTTCGCAGGTGGCTCATAAAACTAATCGCTTGGGTCACCCCTGTGTGTGCGGCGTTCATCAGAGGAGCCCACACTGTGAGCCCACCAGCGCCTGGCTGTGAGCTGCGGTATTACGAGGGGATAGGGGGAGCAAAGGGGAACAAACAACATCCTCTGTGATCTGTTGATGTGTGATTAGGGATGCTAATCCACTCCAACCGTTTCATCCTGGAGAAGAACTCGCGCTCGCTGCACCGGCGACGGCAACGTGCGAGCTGCTTGTTTTAAAATGATGATGATGATGATGATGATCAGAGCGATGGTGAACTCGCAGGTCAGTGTAGGATAATTGAATTAAACAGGAGGGCGATCAAAGAATGGCAGTATAATATTAGTATAATTCTATTTGTAATGACACACAACGGCAAACGGCGGCTTTTATACACGCAGTTGTTGTTTTTTTTAATGTAAGTCGATAAATGTGAGGTCCAATGTTCTCTGTCTTTTGGGCTCCATTTGATCTCCACCAACCCATGAGAACAATCGGAGGCACCGTAACGACTAATTGAGGCGTTACGATCACTGGCGAACCTTTTCCGCCTGCTGCACCGCGAAATCACGCCGACGAGAGCAGAGTGGATCCAAACAGGAGGGGCGGCGGTCATAAAAACAAAATAAATTGACAAAGGATGCCGAAATGCTCAAAGGGCTGAGGGGTAACTGGGCGATAAATCAGTGTGGTTGCGTCGGTTGGCTTCGACAATAAGCGCTACAGAGATTTGTTCGCCTCGGAGATTAACAAATCCAGATATTCTATCCACTTGAATGAAAACGACCTTTATGCCACTACCTACCTTGAGTCACCATCCATGTACATTTCAAGGCAACGGGATGCTGCTATACTTCCCGATCGCGTGGCCTCGACTTTTCTAGCTCTGTCGGTTTGTTTTCTTTACTTACATTTTGTAAAACCGGCCTATGGGAATCACTCCCTAATTGCCTGCTTGCCATTATTTCCGCAGACCTCGATCATTTTGCCGGATCATCGGTTTCCACGATCAAGGGAATTTAAAGCCAATGTTACAAATGCAACAACAAATAGGAAGTGAATCAGGTCCGTATTCATCCGCTGAGTAAATAAAGCGTCTGCCCGAGCACGGGATTTCAATGTCAGGAAGGAAAAAAAAACATGGACGAGAGCTTGGCTGTAAAATGTACCATAAAATTAGCAGAAATATCTAATTAAATCTTAAGTTGCAATTACTGGGAAGACAATTAACCGTCAGCCCAAAGATCTATCATCACGACGGACCTGCTTACAATACATCCTCGAGCCGAGTGCCCACAGGGCCGATGTCTACCAACGAGTGCGCGGCCTCTGTGAGGGACAAAAGAAACACCGGCTCACCTGAAAAGGAAGTCTCCGTCTCTATGGCGACAGCCAAAGAAGAGCCACGTCTCGCCAAATACGGCCTCGGCGTCGTCCTTCCTCTGCTGCTCTCTGAAAGTCAAACGGCGGACGTCAGCGGTCAATCAAACGCCGGCCGCGCCAGATGGAGGAGAGGGAGCCTTTTCCTCGCGGCGGAGGTTATAGAAGCGCGGTGACACCATTAAGCGCCGTCACAACGGCCAAAATCGGCTAATGCATGTAAGCGACTGTGTGTGTCGGCAGCCAGGACATTATACGTATTATTAAATTGCATTCCAAACAGAAGGATGGATCCCATCAATAATAAACAGTTAGTGCAAATGGAGCTTGCTTGTGCATTATGTGTGGTTGTGTGTGTGTGTGTGTGTGTGTGTGTGTGTGTGGTTGTGTGTGTGTGTGTGTGTGTGTGTGCGTGCGCGCGAATGTGTGTGTGTGCGTAAGTGCAACTGTGCTCGGGTTGCAAAAGAACTGCTCCAGCAAAAAGTGAATCCTCGTGTGGTTCGCGAGTTTGGCGAAGCTCCCAGAATCCTTTTGCCGGCGATGGCAAAACGCAGCGGCACAAAGCGGGCTGTGAAGATGCCCGGTATCTGTGCCGCGCACCTGCCGCAAAAGGGGTGACGGCTCTCTCCCAGATAACAATTGCCCCCCCTCACCTCCCCCCCCTTTACGCCGCTACCCTAACCTTTCATGATGCCATCAGTCAGATAGCTCTCCAAAGAGCCCGGCGTTATCTATTACCGCTCGTCTGGTGGAAGCGAGGGATTGAGGGAGGGAGGGGACGGCGGGGTGAGGAGAGAGAGAGAGAGAGAGAGAGACACACACACACAGGTGTTGAGGTGAGCGACCACGGCGGCGCGCTGAAGGATACCACAGCGAGGATTGAGACTGGGCCCCTTTGTGCTGCTGCGCCCTGAACACCGGCGGGCTGAATCCTGTTTTGTGTTTCTCCAGCGGTTACTAAATCACTCGGTTAATAGAACAACGGATTCAAATACACAAATACTTTTTTTTGTTGTTTTTTTAAATCATCAAACCAGCAGATGCCGAGACTTCTCCCGAGTCAATAAAACTCCGGCTTAGACTTGAGGAAAGTACGAAGTGACTTTGCCCCGTCGGCAAGAATGTGGAGTGAAACTTAAGTTGGATTAGGCGTTTCTAACCATTTTCCCTTCACAGTCCGTTATCCTGGAGATACATTGGCCAAAACTAGCAGATCTGAGGTGTGGCAGGTGAGGGAGAGCCAGAGAGCTCAAGGAGGTAAAGAAAATAACGTATATTCGGATGAGACTGAAGAAGAAGAAAAAAAAAAAACAGAACGCTGGAGAACAGTGTGGATGGCCTAATCTCCAGTAGGAAAGAAAAACGTATGTTATGTCAACCCTTCTTTCTTAACATTATGACTGAAGGATTCATATATTTACTATATAGATTTGCGTCATTGTACTTCTAAGGATCAAACCAGTGCAGAGATGCAAAGTAAAGAACTATAATTTGAAACTAAATCTTCTTTAAATCAAAAGTTTACTAGTTAATTCAAACCCTTTGCAGTTTGTCTGAACTTTCCGTCCGCGCGTGTGTGTGTGTGTGTGTGTGTGTGTATGTATGTGTGTGTGTGTGTGTGTGTGTGTGTGTGTTCCGATAACAGAGCTGTCTGGCCCGACTCAATCCAAAACTCTCAGATCCCGTCCATTAGCATCCTGGACGAGCTACTTCTTCTGATCCGCAAACAGCCTCAAGTAAACTCATTTCAGCGGCTCCTTCTCTGACTTTCACTCTCTCTCTCTCTCTCTCTCTCTCTCTCTCTCTGCCCTGAAGGGATCAATACCAATATGAAAAAAAAACCTGGGTTCCATTCCGAGCAGACCACACCGGCGCCTTCCTCTGAATACAAATCGCATCACGTACTCGCGCCATAACAGCGTAACGCAACACAATCCCGGTCGGGGAGGCAGAGCGTACGGAGCGCTCCGTTTGGGGGAGGGCGGGGGGTCGAAAATCAGAGGCGGTCGCCTTTTCAGTGCCGCTCAAATGATCAGCAGGGGGCCGCGAGCGCCAGGAAAGGTGAGCTGGTAAACATCCAAGTGATCTCAGATCTTTTCGTACGTTGCACGAGCATCTCTTTAGTTTTTGTTGTTGTTTTTAGGCACAGAAACACAACGAGAGCGAAAAAACAAAAGCCTAAATACAACAACAGCTACCGCTTAATCACTGAAATTACAGTGCAGAATTGGATTCGTTGGATTCAAAAATGTTTCGGTAGCAAAGGGGACAATGCTGAGTAGCTGCGGTCTAATTGGAATCAGCTGTCTGCTTCCACTGATGAATAGAAGGAGCTTGATATTTGTTCACGCTAACTTTAATAAACCCGTCCCGGTGTCGGTGCCTGCTGGCAAACCCGAATATCAAACTGCTCGCACTGATTTTTGTTGTTGTTTTCTTTTCTAAAAGGAAAGCTGGTTGGAGCTGGTAAGGAGAGCAAGGCTCCGTTAAAACACAGTACTTTACTGTCACAGCTCGCAGCCAAATAGAAACACAGAAAATCTCATTCTCCATAACATCCTTCCGTGGGAATCGATAGCGGACTACGGGACGGGACGGGGGGGGGCGTGCTTCTGACCCTTTTCAGAGACGCTCCTCCTTCCTGCCACCAGCGCTGCCAACTCATACAAAATTATTTTTGAGAGTAGCATCGATTAACCGCGGTGGGGGGGGGCGGGGATGTTTTCGGGCCTTCGGGGCAGATACGGCGTCCCGTCGACAAACTGGGGTGTTGTTATCTCCCAATCGCAGCGTCAGCCACGGAGGCTTTGTTTGGAAATCAAGTTAGATTCTGTACGCCAGCTTTTTATTAATCCTGCAGGGAAATAGGCCGCTAGCAGGGGGAGAGGATGAGAGATGCTCCATGAGAAAACTTATTGTTTTAGAGGACATGTTGAATAAAGAACTTTTTTTTTTTTTTTTCAAAAGATCGTTTTTGTTTAGTTTGCAACAAACAAGTCTGTGAGGACATGGTATTAACAAATGTGTTTTTTGATATCTATTTTTAAAGAGGGATGTTTGGGCACCTCTGTGAGGATCAAAGTAACACCGATAGTTTTATATTACAGTACCGCTCTTACCCCCCCCCCCCACCCCTCTCCCCGGCTCGACCTTGATCATCCAGGAGAGAGGTCTGAGGCATGAATAAATATGATATATATATATATATGTGTGCGTGTGTGCCATCTTCAGTGCTACTGCATCCCAGAGGCACAAACACCTCTCAACCCACATGACCGCTCGCCGGTCCTCGGGGTTCTGCGGCCGACAACCCCCGCCCCCCCCCCCACCGAGCGTATCGCCCTCTGCGACGCCGGCCCGCCGCGGCCGCCCGAGCGCACATCCGAGGGAATTCAGAGACAATTGGAGTCGACTGGGGCGCGACCTCATTTTACCCCAAGCCGACCCAGAGTTGGACACGTCAATCTGGCTAAAAAGGCGAGTCTGGGTTCAGCACACAGCGCACGTCAGATCCGTCTGACGGGTTTGGTTTTTTTTACCAAAATGATGGAATCCTTAAAAGGATTTACGCTTCCAGCAACGCCTTGACGAGCTGGCGAGAGGTACGACGCACACATCGATTGGCAATCACAAGCAGTGTTTTGCTCCGACGGCGTCCGATGCGTCGACCCCTGGACCGTCGATTACAGGCCGCGTCGTGAACTTCTGGGAGGCCTTAAATTATTCCCCGCTGAGACGAGCGGAGCATCTGAAATAATCCCTGACCGCTGGATTTAACGCTTTGCGAGATGCGGGTGGGCTTCGAGTGTCGAGCGGATTACTGTAAAACACGCCCGGATGATAGCGATTCAACTTCATTTTCTGATATTCATTACTGGCTATGAGTATTTAAGGGTTGAGGGGTACGGAACCTGAATATTTACCTCTGCTGGAGGAAGCCGATGAAGGGGGCGACTCCTGTCCCCGGGCCGACCATGATGAAGGGCGCCGACGGCTCCGAGGGAGGCCGAAAGGAGCGGTTGGGTCTCAAACTCACATGGATCTACAGTCAGAGGTCATTAGCAGGCATTTAAAATAATGAGAGTAATTACAACAAAGCTGAGGAGCCACCGCGGACCAGCCGATCTATTAATTGATCTACTTAATATTCTAAGACATTCTAATGGGGAAAACTCGTGAGCTCCGAGGAATCTGCAGAGTCCGAGGTAGAAAAGGGATTTACTTGCTTTAATTTGAATTATTTTTTAATCAACCACACACACACACACACACACACACACACACACACACACTCTCTCTCTCTCTCAACCCGCCTAGAGCTCATTATTTTTTTTTAATCACGCATTAAAAGTGTGTTTCTAGAGCTGTAGAAACAGGTTAACTCCCCAGTGCCTCAAATTTCGTGAAGACGCCGCATGGTTTTTAAATATTCTGCTTCGCACCTGCCTTCCATTTTACTCTGTTTAACTTTTTCAGCTGTGATACATGGAGGAGAACGGGCCGTCTGGCTCTCTTGGCATCTTTATTTAACAGAACTCGTGACAAAAACACAAGAGGGCAACGTCAAAATGAGTTGTAGCAGGATTTCAACCATCGCCGGGGAGGCCTCGTGCATTTCATCCTTTTCTTCATAATGACGGCAGCGGGTTGCCACTCTCACAGCACCTGAACACTTGTTCTGGCGGTGAAGAGCGCTTCTCCGCCACGACCAAGAAATATAAATCAGCAGAGACCAAGAGTTCACAAATTTGCACAATCCAGTTTCAGCTCTCCATCTTCCGGAGCGCTCATTACCTTTGGCGGAGCCGGGCTGACGGAGGACTCATCCTCCCCGGGGGAAAGCAGGACGGGATTGATGAGGTCAAACAGCCAACCGGTGCACAGGCCCCGCCTCCCCGCAGGCCGCCAAGAGCATGCTGGGAATTCTACCACGCTGAAGACAAACCGCAGCTTTCCCGGGTGCCGGAGACAGGAGCTATAGAGATGGGAGCGCAGGCGGCTTTAGATGGAGGACGACAGAGGTGGAAGGAGACAGGCGCGCTTGTGTGTGTGCGTGTGTGTGGATATGCAGAGATGAAGTGAGCAATAGAGGGAAACACATAAAGAAGCCAGAAAAGGCACAGCCAATAATACGAGGAAGGACACATTCAATGGTCTCGCAATCAGCGCGCCTTTAGAAAGATACAACGACGGAAGCTGATCACAGTAATAAGGACACGGACATTTGATGTGAAGTGACGCTAACAAATACGGACACGTCATTCAAATGTGCTGAATCACGATCTAGGCCGGGGGTCGGCAACATCTTTCTGTTCGATGGGTTCGACTGTCAGAGGGACTCCCTCATAACCCTGCATCACAAAATCAGTCATGTTCTTTATATTGCTACAATATCTTTTTTTTTTTTTATGCAATAGAGTTGTCCATTTTTTGGTCAGTTGGGTCAAGATCGCACTCGTAGTACTGACCCCTATTTGCCAAACTCCTAGAGCCTACGATTACAATTCCTCTCAAGAACAACAATTGGCGCAATACGCGATCGTACACAACATTTGAGTACATACTAATTATCTACACAAGCGCATATCTAACAGAAGTGCCCCTGGTTGGCCTGATCTACATAATGGCGTCTTTTCATCGTGCACCAGGCTGAAAAAACCCACTGCCTGGGATTTTCAAGAGAGTCATAACTTCCTGTCTCATCGGCCTCAACTGAAGAACTCTCACGCTCTCTCCTCCTTCGCTCTTCAGTTCCTGTGGGCCACTGGAGACCTCTATTGACCACAGCATCAATAATGCAGGCCTCTAATGTCTCTGCGCCATCTGATAAACTACAGCCACCATCTCTCTTGCCCGTTCACTGCCTCTCTGCACACACACACACACACACACACACACACACACACACACACACACACACACACACAGCAGCAACGTGAGGGACTAATGAGAGGAGCAGTGAAGTTTTGACATTATGTTGCTCTTCCACACAAGCTTTGAGGACCACCTAATGGGAACAAGCTTAACAGGAAGGGGCGAATCAATAACTGGCAAAGGCTAAAGGCCACACAGTACTTACAGGGCATTCATTTTTTTACCACATATCCTCTGGAGATTTAAAAAAGGAAACGGAAACACAGACTAGATAGTCCGACAAAAACGGAATCCATAACAGACTTTGACACTCGTGCACTAACTGTTGCTGAATCGCTGAGAAGAATTATGGCACACTTCATAAAATTGAGGAAGCTTCCATTCGATTTCTTAGATGTATGTAGATCGCATCACATTTTGGAAGAAAAGCCGCTTTGTCAGAGGCTCCTAAGTGGAATCAATCCAGGGATTTTTTAAATATCCGAAGAAATGAGCAGAGGGGAGTTGATACATCTGTTGCCTTTGCATAAATGATTAAAAAAAACATCCATATTCTAATAAATAAGATGAATCCATTGTTCCCTTTGCATGCGATAATTGAAATATCATCATTATAAAAGACATCGAGAAGGAGAGTTTGTCAAAGTCATTCATATCTCATTAAAAATACTTATAACCAAACACTGTTTCGTGGAATTGTTCATTCTAAAGTCAGGCAGATGTTTATTAATTTGTGCACAACTAACTGACAGTGAGTACTTGTACAATATCCTAATGTGTACCGATTTAAGCGGCTGGCAAACCGCAGTGGAATTTTAATAGTGAGAAGACGACACATACTCGTGCAAACAAGCTTTTTTTTTGTGCACCCATTCGTACGTTTCTGTCCCCTTACCTGGCTGCTGAATAAGGCCTCGGCTGCAGTTTCGGCAAATGCTCTGAAAGGAAAGCAAAACTGTCAATCATCCTCCCGTTTGGCTTTTGATTTGGTCCCGCAGACGCGCGATGACAGACGGCGGACAAAACAAGCGAAAGTCGTCTCGGCTCCACTGAGGCGTCCCGCCTACCTGATCTATCCAGTCCTGTTTCTAGGACACACTTCTATATTTATGAAATTACAAACTCAGGGTTATGGAGTCCCAAGTGTCCAGTTGTGGAGCCAATAGGTAACAGACTGCTTATGCAGACCTTATTTCAATGCCAACCATGAAGGTGCCCTCTTTTTTGGGTGATATGCAGGAGGGGGGGGGCCTAGAAATCGTGGTAATGTGTCGGAGAAATCAGGGGAAATACTTTTAGGCTTTTTTTTCCATTCGCTGCGCTTTGACAAAAGAAAAGAGCGCTGGAGACATGCGAAGAGTAAAGAGGCACCATGTGAACCAGCTGAGCCCTTACAATGACACACGTTTCTGCCTAATTGCATGGAAATGACTAACAGCTGGACTACATCGGTTCTCTGCTCTTTTTCCGGGGCTCTCTGACGTCTGAACACCTCGGGGTGCTCGCAAGGCCGCTCCTCCATTTGACGTCCATTTCATCTCTTTGAGTGAGTGTTTTTAAAAAAAAAAAAAAAATTATGGTGATACATGAAAAACACTTTGAAAGAAAAACATTAGACTTGCTCGAACAGCAGCATTCTCTGAAAAACATCAATCTAGATTCCTTCAGATACTAAGAGAAAACAACAGGCTCAAGGATTAAACACTTGATTTGTAGAGAGCAAGGTGGGAAAATGACATGTGGACTAAACCTAGACTTCATTCCACTAAGATGATACAATATGAATAAGGCAAAGAAGGAGATTTGGTTCATAATTTATCTAGGTTACAAAGACTATTTCCCTGTGTTGGGTTTTCAAAACAAAAGCGTATGCCAATCTGAAAAAAAAGAAAGCAGGTCTGTTCACTGGGCCAGCTCAATGATAAAGAGAATTTGCAGGGACATAGTTCATATATGAAATATTTCAGTTACCCAGCTGCCTCAGAGACAAAGAAAAAGCAGTTAAGATAGTCTTCGGCACAAAAATATTATTCCCAAAAATATACATTCAAAAGACGCCTTGTTATATTTTTGATGCGTGGTGTATCGCAGCGTCTCATGATCGGACCGGAAAAACAAAAAAGATGTTTGAATGTCTCGACTTAACTGAACTAAGACACACTGGCCTTGCTGGGGTATATACGTTTTCAATATTTCTCAAAAAGTAAAATAAACACAGGACAAGAAGTGCCCCCCCCCATGGACAAAATGTGTTTGGAAGAACCACCACACAGCCAATGGAGGCGCACGCACGTCTCCATCAGACGGTGCAACATTAACACAATCCTGTGCAGCGTTCCAGTTGCCAGAGTGACACGACATGCCCAAAACAAGGGGCTGTCAATCCATCACCTCACATCACCGCGCCATGAAGATACTGCTGCCAGATACAAAGGATATATCACTTTTAATACCTCTGTGTGCAAAGTGGCTTTTTTGTTGCTGCAGTGAGTGGGTTGAGGATAAATCCTAAAAAATATGTATTGCCAAAAGAAAAAAGAAAAAAGGGTACCAGGGTGCCTGCTACTTTTTCAAAAATGATCATTTTCAGTGGTATCATCGATCATACTGCACAACAACATAATCTCTTCCATCTCAAAAGTCTCTCTGCCTTGCAATTTATATGCAGAGGTACCATTTTAGGGGGAGAAAATGAAATGGCAATGTAGCCGAACATGAAAGTTATACTCTTTTGAGATAGAACGTTTTGTTGCTTGCGGATGGAATTAGGGAGGTTTTTGGCATTAAAGCGTTACGTTTTCTTTCTTCTTTTTAGCCTGAAATTGCTAATTACAAGTGACTGCAGAGAAAAGGGCCTGCACGCACGTCCTTTTGGGATGCAGACACGTTCACTTAAAAACTGCACCCTGGTACAATTTTCCTTAAGGCCCTAGTGCCAAAAAGTAAAAATGAAAAAGATGCTCACGAACAGCATTCGGCTCCCTGTGGCAATGACTTTATCCGACACGCCACAGGGAACAATGGGCCGTATTACAAGAGCGCTGACGCTAGGAAGCAGGTAACTTGGCCAAAGACATCTGGGCTTAGATGCGCCTCTCCTCATTATTTACAGTTGGTGTGTAACAGCATGAACTCTGATCGGCGAACACCTCCTGTTCCGGTTCGGGGGTAATGAACCAGGAATGATGCAAAAAAAAAAAGGAGAGGAGCTGCACCGCTTCACAGTTGACCACCAAGCTAAGATCAAACGGATCTAAAATGAGCCCACGCATTCGCGTCTGTGTCCTTGCAAAGCTCACCACGTTTCCCCAGATAACAGCTGTTGCCCCGAAGCCTGCATTTTTCACGAGGGCACGATCGGCCAGATTCCCCAAATTTCCGCATCAGTTCACCACTGAAGGAAGAAAAACATTTTTTTAAAAGTGCTGTGGTTGGCAAGTAGAGGCCAAAAATAACTGACACCGGCAAAGGCCAAGCGCTGTGACACAGCTGTTTTAGAGGACAACTCAACTTGTAGGTACAGCTGCAGCCAACTCATTTCACTGTCTGGTAAGTTTCAGTCAAAGCTTATTAGGTCTAAACCGAACTACTGTCCAACGACGTTGATGGGCGGAGAGGAAATTGGAGTGCTGAAACAAGTGTTTGGCCATAAAGAAGGGTCATAACGGCCAAAGAAAGAGCAGTATTATTAGCGGGGAGGGAAATTATGAGTAAACTAAGAAAAATGAGTCTTGACTTTCAGCTATGATACAGACTTTATATTCACAGTAAACGTGACACAAAACGTCATATGGGAGCTGCATTGATTCAAAATGAGATGAGGAAACAAGATTATCCTTTGTGGAACCTTCTGACCCTCGGAGCATTCACTATAATTAAATGTCCTCCAGACTGGGCTCCAGAAATCTCGCTTTTCTGGGTCTACAGTGCCCCCTACTGATGGCGATCATCCACACAGACTAAATCTGCATAGCTGAAAATACAGACGATGCACTTGACATAAGCCGATATCTCGGAGGTCAATTATTCCACTGATATTTGGAGCAGGTGCCGTCTAAACCTCAACGTGGTGTCAATCACTGTAATTACATGCGGTTTGGCCTCAGGCTGCGTGAAAGCCTGCATAAATAAACATCCATCTATTATAATAATCATTCTTTTTTTTTAAGTAACTGTTGACAAACTGTCGGCCCAGAAGGATTTAAATGTAAGCAACTAATAAATAAAACAAAAGCGCGATCTCCTTTTCTATAAAAAAAAAAAAATTCAAAAAAAGAATTCAAAAAAATGACAACTGAAGAAACTTTTTTTGAAACGTGCCAGGAACGTGCCCCCCCGTTTTCCCCCATGACATCAAGATTAAAGAAACAAAACGATAACAGTTTGATATTTGCGCTCTGACCTAGGAGAAGGCTGAGCGGCGGCGAGCAGGTCGGGAAGGCGGCGAGGAGCTCCGGGACGCTGAGGCCGCAGTCCCTCACGTACAGGTTGTAGTCGGCGCTGCCTTGTCTGCTGCAGAGCTCCTGCAGTCGCCTCCTCTGCCCGCTGTGACCCGTGTGCTCCACCAGCGCTCGGAGAAGGGCCTAGCGGGGAGACGGGAAGCGGAGGTTAAGCCACTTGGGAGTCGCTCTCGCTCCTTGACCTTGATACCAGCCCAGTTGTGGAATACAGGCGTTTTTTGTTATTTACCATGCGCTTTCTGTTTGAATGTGATTTCATTCATTATTGCTTATCTTTTTGTACTTTGTGATGCAAATTACGGGAATAAAAAAATTGATTTCATTCTTCTCCGCGATGATTAATCACTCTGATAATATCTCAGATTGTAATCAAGACTGTCTGAATATTCGTCATCCTGACTGTTCTGTAAAATGTAAGTGATCCGTTATTCGTTAATGGGAGCTTGTATGGAGAGATTTGTGGTCCAGTCTTGTAGCTTACACTGGAAGAATTATTATCCCCCATCTTCCGATCCATAACGTACGGCAGCACTATTTGAATAAAATCAAGAAATACTGTCTGTATCTGACACGGTGTGTGAATAGCTTCAGCAATAACATTCACATTTGTCTCCGTGGAAACGGCATTCAGAGTCCTCCTACTCCTCAGTGTTTGATCCCGTTATGAATATCATTGGGAACTGATGAAATACAGCACAACAGATTAACTGGTTGAATTACAAAAACGGGTGTAAAATCAAATGTCTCTCTTACTGCCTAAACTATCTCTATACAGCAGTTCAGCCCTGAACCAAGAACATTTAATTCACAATGTTGAAACGCTTCTCCGATAATACAAAAAAAAAAAAGTATGTTCCGCAATCCAGACTTATGTGCCCTAAGGTCTTGACATATCTTTTTTGGAATTAATAACAGAAAATAAAATATCTCATTTCTTTGGGAAATTGTAATTTAAACTGTGTGGCATCACAACATCATGTGACTAATGTAGTAGCTTGAAACGCTGCTGTCTGCATCAGTCTGCAGAAACGCTGCCAGGAAAAAGGCACCTGCCAAGCTCGATTCTGAGGCCGGTTGACATTTCCACACACTGACTGTGTTTATCTCCATCGCCACAGAGGACCAGGCGAGGGCGGTCATCGTTTCAGTTCAGGGCGCACATTTAGTAAATCCAATCTCGCATGAGCTTTTCGCCCCGAGCTATGAACCCATGTTCGTCTCGGCCCAGACCCTCTGCTGACAAAGACTTATAGAGGACCCATATGCCTCTTCAAAAAAATAATAATAACAACAACAAAAGAACAAAACCATTCGTGTCAACAGATGATCCCTCTTCTTAATTGAATTCTATTAAAGACAATGTCTAGTCATGCGTTACCTTCTTTGGCACACTTCTGATCTCTAGACACCATGTGAGCAGGTACAGCAGAGAAATGTTCTGGGACATGTAGGATGGCACCTGTGCACCTATGACCAGGAAGGAGAGAACATGTGGTACACGTGATTATCATAGATGTCACAAACAGAAGAATCTTCATTGGGATATTATTGCAATTGTTCAGTTGCTGTGCAATTGTTTGGAAATGCCAATGCAATGTTATGGGATGCATGTTAAAACCACCTGGCGGGCACATGTCTACCTTTTTTCTTGGTGTCTTTAAGCAGAGAAACGTGTACTCGGTGGTTCCTCTGGTCACTAAGGCCCAATCGGTGGAGCGCCTCCTCCACCTCGGCGGCTCGGTTTGGGCAGAACACATCAAACGAATCCCCTGGATGATAGGTCACCATCGGGTGAGCCTGCCAATGGAGAAAAAAAGATCCATCTCAAATCCAAAAAGCAATCAAAATTTGCACCATTATAAAATTGACCGTCCTTTAAACTTACAGAGACGTCCAGCTCTACGAGGAGGGCGGTCTTGACTGAATCTCCTGTGGTCAGCTGAACTGCTCTGCAGACAGGAGCCGCAGAGAGAGCCTCCACGTTGGACGGTCCGACCGCCTGAAAGAAAAATCATTTCAAGATGAAGCCCAAAACACGGAAATCAAACGCTGCGTTTTCCCTGCTGCGTCCCTTCCTCACCTCTCCCGCTGGGTCCGCCTCCTGGAGTGAGACGTCGAGGTAGGGAGGAGGCAGGGCGGGGAGGTTGAGAGACGACTCGGACAGCGGCGGAAGGGAGCGCGTCAGCGAGGCCGGCGGTGAAACGCGGGGACGTCCGTCGTCTGTGCCCGGTGTCTCCGGTGCGGATGCGGACACGGCGGAAGCACCTGGAGACCGCGACGCCAACACAGAGCTCCCTGTGGGAACCGCTGGCCTGAGATCAGAAACGGCAGCATGTGTGCCAGGAGCTGGAGGTGAAGCAGCGGCTGCAGATTTGGAGACGGGTGCTTTGATCGACTCGCGGCTCTGCTGGTCAGTTATTCTCAAGAGGTTCAGTTGGACATCCGGCATGGTTGAATCGGGAGCTCCCCTCGGTGAATCCGCTGCTAGTCCTTTCACAAAAGCGGCCTTATTGGAAGCCATTTTTGATAAGGCTCCTTTGATGGCCTTCCAGAGTCCCTCAATCCATGGTTCCACAACCACCTCTAGCCTGGAGAGAACAAAGCCCTCAAAATGAGGCACGGCAGTGCAATGAAGAAAAAAGAGGGAGAGAAAACAAGGGGGTAGGGGTGGGGGGGGGTGTCGTGGGCCAAAATGCGGATTGAAAAAAATCCAATGAAAGTTGGATGTCTGTACAGCAGATCTCACCCTGTACCATCATCTGCATAGCCCGTCGCATAGAATTGTTTTGCACCAAGTTCCTGCAGCCGACGCTCAATTGTCTTCCCGCAGTTGCAGAAGTTTGCATAATTTGTGTCTCCCAAAGCTGAAGCACACAGAGAAAAACAGATGAACAACACTTTATCAAGTTTATCGACCGTTTCCCTCTCATGACTCATACAAATATGTTCTGCAGCTTCCTCGGATTGTCATCATAAGAATTTACCTAAGAGCGCATAGCAAAGGTGTTTATAGTGGTCAGGGGAGAGGGTCTTCTCCTTGATGCGCTTTACAAATTGGAGGGCATTGTCTGGTGGCTCCCCATCTCCAGTAGTAGACACAATAAAGACCACTGGGGCGTTCTCCGTCTCCAAATTGTACTGAAACCGGTAAATGATTGACCTGTGAGTTGGGTTTCCACTACTCAATGCAAACACGCACGTACAATAACATCACGCTAATTAAGATGTTTATAGAGCGTTTGATACCTTCTCGTTGTGGTTCAAGCAACTGAGCTCAGCGGCCAGTCCGTGCTCCTCCGCCACCTCCGCTATGCCTTCAGCTAGGGACTCAGCTTGACCCTTCTGGGATCCGTAGAGAAGCACGAACCGAGGCTTCACCTCACAGGGCATGCTGGAGAAGTCCAGAATAAATAAATAAATAAAAACTTATTTTCACAACACTTACACCTATTTTACCTGTAGGAAAGGAGCCGGGCAATACATCTGAGGGCTCTGTTTTGTGTAAATGTGCCGGTAAGCAATCCATTCAAAAGACAAGGACCCTAAAAATGAGGCCGCTTTATGCCGTCCTGCATAAAGTGGCTTGACCTGTAGCCAAAATACCAATTAGTATTACTTACATCTTGTATTTTAACAATGCAGAGGTGGAACATAGAGGTGATTATTCAGTCGTTGACCTATGTATTCAGCAGTATATCGTTTTACTTACATACAGCAAGTTTTGACAGGTGGCAGACAAAACCCGGCCTATGGACAGCCCTGATCATACACATATATCATTCTAATTCAATATAAGTCTATGGCCCTGATCGCCACTATGAAGGTACCGGATATTGCGTCAGTTTGATAAAGTTACACCAACAGAAGCACGCGTGGCTTCAAGTCCAAATTTAATCTATAGTTTTATGATCAAGCATCGCATTGATCTGTTTGCAAATGTCCTATGCTAAACCACAATCAAATTCTAGCTTTAAGTTACGTAACGTTATATTGTCAACGTTAGTTAACGTTAGCTAACGTTAAAAGTAAGCAAACTGACAATCATGTACTGCCAACTCTGCGCGAGAGTCAAGCCCCGTAACCAACATGTGATTCCCGGATCAAACATCTTTAAAATATATCATTTCTAAAAACGAAGTTAAAATTCTTAAATATTTTTAGAAGCAGATATAAATACGATCGGTGTCCTACCTTTCACACAGCTGTGGATCTTCACTCAGTCCAGTTTTTGCATCTCGTAAAATCTCGCGATATCAGAGGACGGATTAAGTTTGCACGTGATCGGAATGAACCACATTATTAAAAAATACATTTTCAGTTCTAACGTTAAATAGTATTTATTAAAAGCGTTTCATTATTTAAAATAATTTTTCAAAGTTCGGCTAATTTACTCAGATTCTGTTTTAACCAGGATTTTAAAATCGCATTATAAGATACACTTGAGGTTACTTGGTTCCGCCCTCCCCGCCCGTAGACCCTTCCAGAAGTAGCCGGCGGACTCGTGCAGTCTGCTGTTTTCTCCACTCCAGGTTTTCGTCGTCAAAACTCAATATATTATCAGTTGAACACTTTCTGAGTGTCCCATTCCCGCAGCCAACATGTCCTCCATGGGGACACTCGCTTTTGATGACTATGGGAGGCCTTTTCTCATCATTAAAGACCAGGACAAGAAGACACGGCTATCTGGCATTGACGCACTTAAGGTACAATGGGCTAGCTAACTGTGCAATGCCGTAGCATGTTGCTCAGCAAGCTAGCAATCTGCAATTAATTGCATGCTACGTTTTATAAAACACGAATATTGTTCAATTCAACGTGTCGTTTAATGTTCAATGTGACACTCGACTGGCCAGTTCATTTGGTGGTGCAATACCAATGGAATAGCTCTATCCGAAAGATTAGCAAGTGGGCTAACGTAGAGGCCCATGTGCGTTCAGCCAGTGGGTGTTGCTACGCAGTGCTGCCCAAAATGCTCATTATTGATGCACTCATCATTTCATCATTTCTCAATGAAGGCAACTTCGGTCCTTCAAATACCATTAACAACATCTAATCATTGTTTTAAATATATGCTGACGTTGAGTTGTGCTTGTGGTTTTGCAGTCTCATATTATGGCAGGCAAGGCAGTTGCGTCAACGCTGAAGACATCATTGGGACCTAATGGTGAGTACAGACAAATGCTGTGCAGTTGCTTTGACTGAACAATCCGTTTAAACCGAAAAGCCCTACTGATTGATGAGTTAAGTTAGATGAGTTAGATAAATTAATTAAGTTAAATGCTGACTTTTGTGAAAAGTCTTAAAGCTAATACTATAGAAAGTAACCACATCTTGTAGATTTCAAAGCCCTCCCGCATACAATTGTATGAAGCTATTTGCAGATTATTCATTTGTTAAACCATTTTTGTTTCGACTTTTGCATCCAGGACTTGACAAGATGATGGTTGACAAGGATGGCGAGGTGACCGTCACAAATGATGGAGCCACTATTCTCGGCCTGATGGATGTGGAACATCAGATTGCCAAACTCATGGTGGAGCTTTCCAAGTCCCAGGATGATGAGATTGGTGATGGAACCACTGGAGTTGTTGGTATGTGACCGGAGGAAGACCACGGCTATGATAATGACGATTATAATGGGTGGCTGGTTGGATGTAATTCTTGATTTATACTATTTGGCTTTGTGTTGTGATGCTCCAAATATACCTATGCCTGGGTACATAGTCGAACATTGGGATTATCAAACCCTGGATGGATGCAATGACTGCATTGCATCCATCTGATTTTTTTTTTTGTGATGTGCTACAAAATGTAAATTGTCTCAATGCATCAAGGTTTGCTTTATCATAAATTGATTGAAGCCTATAAACCACCTACAGCCATATTTTAAATGTACATTAGGAATATGCTGAATCAAATATACAGTCTATTTGAAATCAGTATACATTCTCAGATGAAGAATGACTGACATGTTGGAAGCTTATTGCTGCTGTATTTTATATGGTCTTACTGTGTTTTCCTCTTCAGTGCTGGCTGGGGCTCTACTTGAGCAGGCCGAGCAGCTGCTGGACCGGGGAATCCACCCCATCAGGATCTCTGACGGTTACGACCAGGCCGCACGCGTTGCCATAGAGCAGCTTGACAAAATTGCTGAAACCTTACTGTGCGATCCCAAAAACACAGAACCGCTCATTGAGACCGCCATGACAACACTGGGATCCAAAATGTAAGCCCTTTTGACACGCCAGTGTGTATTGATTGCATTTGTTATTAGGTTTCAAATATTTTGATATTAATAAGAGAAAATATCTGAAACGCCTCCTTTTACTAAAGGCATTTGTCTTTCCCCTTCAAGACCAGTCTATGTATTTAGATAAATGGTACACAGTATGTAAGTCAATTATGATTCAATACAGTTCGTTCTATACAGCACTACTTTGATACGAGGTGATTTGATTTTTTTGATAGTACTCTCAATATGTCATATTTCCCAAACTAATAGCTTACTACAGCACATTTGCAGAAGCATGAGAGTTTAATTGCCTCATTATTCCTAAGCTCCGAGTCTTAATCATCTCTTATCCATTTATTTTTTTAGGTTATTGTGTAGTAGAATAAAATGACCGCCATGGTGATGTATCCTAAGTTCTACTTTTGTCTTTCAGTATCAACCGGTGTCACAGACAGATGGCCGAGATTGCAGTGAATGCCATCCTTACAGTGGCTGACATGGAGAGGAAGGATGTCGACTTTGAGCTCATCAAGATGGAGGGTAAAGTCGGAGGCAAGCTGGAGGATACACAGCTCATTAAGGGAGTCATAGTTGACAAGGAGTTCAGCCACCCTCAGATGCCCAAGGTGCAAACATAAGGATTTTACAATTGGATGATTCCATTGCCTCTCTTGGGAGATTTGTCTTTGCGTGACCACTTGTGTTGACGTCAACTATTCTATGTCCTCACTAAGGTTCTGAAAGATGTTAAAATTGCTATCCTTACCTGCCCATTTGAGCCACCTAAGCCCAAGACCAAGCATAAGTTGGATGTGACCTCTGTGGAAGACTACAGAGCTCTCCAGAAATATGAAAAGGAGAAGTTTGAGGAGATGATCAAACAGGTTAGTGCTGTAGCAAGGTACTAAAACACAATTCTTTGCATCTGCACTTTTAAATGCAAACTTTTATTTCGCTTTTAGGTCAAAAGCAATGGTGCAAATTTAGCCATTTGCCAGTGGGGCTTTGACGACGAAGCCAACCACCTTCTGCTGCAGAACGAGCTGCCAGCCGTGCGCTGGGTTGGGGGGCCAGAGATCGAGGTGAGCGGGGCTTCTCGCATGACGCCGCTATTTCCACATCCTTCACCACGTTGATCAATCACGTAACGACAATTTGATTGCCGTGTGAGTACAAATTGCTAAGTACAACGGTTTTCTCTGCAGTTGATCGCCATCGCGACAGGAGGCCGCATCGTGCCCCGCTTCTCCGAGTTGACACCGGAGAAGCTCGGCTCAGCTGGTTTGGTGAAGGAGATCTCCTTCGGCACCACAAAGGATCACATGTTGGTGATCCAGGAGTGCAAGAACACCAGGGCGGTAACCATTTTCATCCGTGGAGGCAACAAAATGGTACGCAGAAATGAGATTCTGGTTCCGGTCAGAACAACACATTCATGTTAATCTATCCCTCTCGGTTCCCCTTTTGATGGATTGTATCTCTCATTAGATCATTGAGGAGGCAAAGCGTGCCCTCCATGATGCTCTGTGTGTAATCCGCAATTTGGTCAGAGACAACCGTATTGTGTATGGAGGAGGAGCTTCAGAGATCGCGTGTGCTCTGGCTGTCAACCAGGCTGCAGATAAGGTGAGATGCACTAAAACCCGCAAAAGCCTTCTCAATTTAACTAGATTAAATGTTTTCCTATAGGATCAAACTGTGTGTTGTCTGGTTGCTCTCCCTTGGTCCTAACTCCTGCTCCTCTGCTCTCCAGTGCCCATCACTGGAGCAGTACGCCATGAGGGCGTTCGCTGATGCTATGGAGGTTATCCCAATGGCACTGGCTGAGAACAGTGGGTTTAACCCCATCCAGACCATGACCGAGGTCCGAGCTAGACAGGTCAAGGAGAACAACCCCTTCCTCGGCATCGACTGTCTGCACCACAACACCAATGGTGAGGAGGCAGTGTGTCAGACATCGGTAGCAGCGCTGTAATGTCAAAGCCACATGGCGGGACGCTAAATGTTTTCCCTCCCCTCCTACGCAGATATGAAGCAGCAGCATGTGGTGGAGACCCTGATTGGAAAGAAGCAGCAGATCTCCCTGGCTACTCAGGTCGTCAGGATGATCCTAAAGATCGACGACATCAGAGGCCCCGGGGAGAGCGAGGACTAAAGGCCCCCTGGAACACTTTAGGATTTCCGGGCTGTTTTAGGCACTTCTCCAAGCACCGCGTTCCAACCGCACTGCAGATTGCTATTTATCATTTCATACAAGCTATTGTAGTTTCAAAATCACCCATTAAATGTCGCTCAATGGAAATTTCTAGACTCAACCGTGGTGATTTCAAGCCTCCAGTAATCCTTGGTTTGTGTATTCCATGTCAGGTGCACATTGCATGTCTTAAAGCGTTGTCAAGCCCATGTAGAAAAGTTATAATTCACGTTCAGGATTATTACATTAACAAAACAATATACTGCATTATAGTTCAGCTGCATTCTTAGTTTGGGCACAAATGAAAAATGTGCTTGTTAGAAAAGTTAACTCTACACCAGTGTAAAAATTATCAAAAACCGGACATTTAATGTTTGCAAACAGGAGACAGAGTTAACACACATACAAGTCACGCGCCACGGTCTTTTCCAGCCCCCACATATATCCTGGGATACGGTATGAACAGGAAGCTCTTGCGCACTGACCTCATTGTACAAGGACAATATGTTCTTTATTCTGAGACATACATCTGATCATCATGAGACCCGGAGTGGCATTCTCGACACCGGACACACACATCACACAGATTTCATATGCTGAGCGGTCATCTTATCTCAGCTGACATGTCATACACCCAACGTATTGTACAAACGATGCAGACATAGTCTTGTTTTGTCTAAACCTCCCTTCTTGACATGACATTATTTGCAGTTTTTCCAACAGTGCTCCAATTGATATTTTTATTAAGATTAATTCTTTGCATCCAGAAAGTTCAATTAGACTGGAATTATAATGGACCTTAGCGTTTTGTAAATGGAAACTCATTTTTCAGTGTGTGTTTTTCAGTATGTCAATGGCTCTCGTTTGTAGAAAGAAACGTGATTGAAGAACCACTTATGACTCCCTGTATGGAGTTTCCTGTCCTTCCTATTTCATGTACTTCTTGAGCCAGTTGAGCATGTCTGCCCTGGCCTCCAGGATGCCAGGTTTGTCCGTGGGGTTGATGTCCTCTCTTGCGGTGGGCGAACCCATGAGTCTGACCAGGAAAGACCTTCACCTGGTAATCAGCTCTGCATTTCTCCTTCAGTTGAGTTTCAAGGAGACTCACCTGAAGAGCAGACGGATGTCAGATCCAATCGTCATTGGCTACGATTATGGCTTTTTAGAAAGGGGACGATTCGCACCATTTAAACGCATTGTGCCATTTCTGTTATAACTTCCATGCCTACTGACCTGGTCCAGTGGGATGATGTTGTCTGTCTCCGCAAAGACAAAGAGTGTCGGGACCTTCAGGTCGTACTTGTCTTCTCTCTCGCGTACGATCCCTGCAGAGTGTTGCATGAACCCGTCATGAAGGGGTTATGCACTGCAATATGTGTGCTCGCTGAATTGTAATATACTTGCGAAGGAATGAGCTGTGATACATACCATAGAAGGACACAGCTGCTTCCACCTCTAGATATTGCAGGGCGAGGTAATGTGCGGCGACCCCTCCCCAGCAGAAGCCCACCGCTCCGATGTGTTTGGCCCCACACTGCTCCTTCAGAAACCTCAGCACTGCATCCAGCTCTCTGCACAGGGGGACATCGTGACGAAAAAAACGTCAATGCGTGCAACGATCCGCAGGCCTCTACAGAACACCAGAACGTGTCCATCCTCCCCACACCCTCAAATGATCACAAAATGTGGTTACTTGTTTGTTTCCGTGGGCATTTTGTCTTTCAACCACTCTTGAAACTTGGACCAGTCCTTGGATGGACCCCACGGCTCCTTTCCAACGTAGAAGTCGGGACACACCGCACTGCTCGCAGCGACAACGGCAGAAGAAATCCTTGTTAAATAGTTCTATGTTCACTCTCGCTTTGTGTGTGCACAGTGCATTCACTCACTCAAGTGCAGGGGCGTTTCTAGGTTAAATAAAGGTGGGGGAGCGGGGCGCTGGAGTTACAAATAACTAAACAATAGTTTAGTTGACATCACCCAAATTAAAGATTTTTAAACTCAAAATGCCAAGTTATTTGGAGTGCTGGGGGGGCTGAAGACATTTTACCGGGACTTAACCCCCCCCCCCCCCCCCCTGCACCCCCAAAATAGGGCTGTGTGCCGCCCTTCTCACGTGTTTCCTTTGGCTGCCAGCATGTCAGCCATGTATCTGGTGTTGGGAAGCTTCCAGCCGAAGATGTCATGGATGATGATGACGGCCCGGTCAGACGGAGCGGACGGTTTCACCACATAAGCTTTGGTGTGATCGATCTGGACCTCCTGGCCGAGCCCCCCGTAGTCCAGCCGGTCACCGATATCACAGGGACACGGTTTTGCTTCGTTGGCCATTTTTAGACGGATGGAGCAGACCGACGGTCACCTGGGAAGAGGAGACACGACTGTTTCCGAAAGTCACGCTTTTATTTGGGACGCACACTGAAGATGATTACGCAATCATGACTAGGAAGGACAATAACGAGTCTTCAGTTCATTCATCCTAATACTTGATGCAACGTGTCTCTCAAAAGGCACCGCTGGGATTCGAACCCAGGATCTCCTGTTTACTAGACAGGCGCTTTAACCATCTAAGCCACGACGCCGCTGTTCTCATGAACAAGGGGCACAAAAAAGCCCCAATTACAACTAGTAATTGATTGATGAATTACAGATTACAGCAGAGCAGTTATTAAAGACAACAAATAATGAACTAATTCAAGTTTACTATTACGTTCATTACCGATTGATTCTCCAGCTGGGCATTGTCCCTGTTGCTTAAGAGTTTATTATGTCAAACCAATATCTGTTTTGTATATTTGGGCTGTTTTAGGCACTTTTCCAAGCACCATGTTCAAACCGCGCTGCAGATTGCTATTCATCATTTCATACAAGCTATTGTAGTTTCAAAATCACCCATTAAAATCTTACACAATGGAAATTTCTAAACTCAGCCGTGGTGATTTCAAGCCTCCAGTAATCCTTAGTTTGTGTATTCATGTCAGGTGCACATTGCATGTCTTTAAGCGTTGGCAAGCCCATGTAGAAAAGTTATAATTCACGTTCAGGATTATAACATCAACAAAACAATATACTGCATTCATAGTTTTTGGACAAATCAAAAAGGTGGTTGTTAGAAAAATTAAAACTCGACGCCGGTGTAAAATCATTAAAAACAGGACATTTATTTGGGAGGCACACTGAAGTTGATTACGCAATCATGACTGAGCAGGACAATGACGAGGCACGTTTCACATATGACGTTAGCTAATTTAACAATTTCAACTCAAATTGAAAAATGTTAGTAATGAATGTGCATTCGTTTTTTACCGTAATATTTCTGCGATGTAAGAGGAATGAATGTAAAGTCTTTTGAAGAGCTTAAAAAGTTGCACCAAAACCTCCAGACAAGTGAGTCAAAGAATGAATTTCCTGCCGGACCTTCAAAACCTTCAAAATAAAAGCTGGAATATTAACATTAAGAAAAGTACTCAACATGTGATTGATTATTCTTAATTTGTTGAAGCAATAATTATAATCACAACCACAACTAATCTTTGCCGATCGGATATTATACAGAAAGATCTACCATATTTAATTATTATTTAGCTGTGACCTGTTTCACTTAACTATGACACGGTGAGGTCTAAATTGGTTATTGATTTGGCTACTTAACTTGTGGTGTTGGAATTATTGCAATTGATTATATCTCGTTGTATTCGGCTCCAACAAACGGTTGTTATTATCATTTCTATGTCTTCAGTTCATTCATCCCAATACTTGATGCAATGTGTCTCTCAAAAGGCACCGCTGGGATTCGAACCCAGGATCTCCTGTTTACTAGACAGGCGCTTTAACCATCTAAGCCACGACGCCGCTGTTCTCATGAACAAGGGGCACAGAAAAAAACCGATTACAACTAATAATTGATTGATGAATTACAGATTACAGCAGAGCAGTTATTAAAGACAACAAATTATGAACTAATTCAAGTTTCCTATTACGTTCATTACCGATTGATTCTCTATCTTGGCATTGTCGCTGTTGCTTAAGAGTTTACTATGTCAAACAAAATCTCCCGATGTTTGACACATTAGGCTTTGCTTGGATTTTGCGAAGCATCATTTTAACCAATACTTTACTAAACTTGTATTTTAAACAAAAAGCAGTTAAGATAATTTATTTAATACACGAATCCATTATATACACCAAAAATTGAACATATGCAATATAATTGGTTAGGATGAAGTTAGATGTACTTAAGGATACGTTTTAATCTTGTAACAACATTAAGTTCAAGTTTGAGCATTGACATCTAAAGAATCGTATTTTTTTGTGACAAAATATAAAAAAAACATTTTTTTTTCCAAAGACAGACCCCTAGTAGTTAAACCCTATATTTACCTCTGGTTTTATGTTCAGGGGTGCAAGTCTAATGTTATATAAAACCTTTTGGTTCAACGTCCTGTAGGTGTCACTGTTCATCGTGGAATATACATTTGTTTCTAGAAATAGAAATATAATATACAGTATAACACTCCGAAGAAGTGGAGGAAATGTTCTCCAACGTTAACACACTAAACATTTAAACTGTACATCTCAATTTAGTTAAGAATCAGCCATCTAGCGTTTCGATATTAAATTGCACGCTCGCGTTCCGCTGACCACGTGACGGTTGTTATGGAAGCATCGCTGCCGTAAAATTTGAGCCGCTGTGGCAAAAGAAAAAACTGATGTGACAGGAACAGTGACGTTAGCGCGTGCGTTAGCCATCTTAGCTAGCCATTTGACTCCCGTGTTCAAGCTGTCATTTCGGCAACAACGCTTTGTCGTCTTGAATAAAACAGATACTCAAAAAGCTATTTTTGATATTAAAAAGCGTCTGACAGCGAACACGAACTGGATGTGAGGGGACACAACGAAGGAAGCGCTGGAGCACTGTACTGTTGGGGCGAATCCATTTTATGATTCTCAATGCATCCGACACACAGGGATTCACCCGTCCTGCTAGCTTAATTTAGCTAGGTGAGCGACATTGTCTCGTTTCGTGGATGGGTCCGCGGTACGAATCACTCCTTGAAGAAACGGTGACCGGTGCCTAGCGATCGTCATGGACACCGCCGAAGAAGGTAGACGTTCCACTAAAGGCATCTCAACTCAAGCGCCATAGCTTCGCGAGCCAGTTGGCTAACTTAACGTTAGCATAGCTGTTCATAGCGTAGTAGCCTGAGCGTGTAACTAACGTTGGCTGGGTGGTCATCTAGGTAATGGGGGCCGGTGACTGCTGGAGGTTGTTCCGGGGGCGGGTGGGGGAGGGTCACGCGGCAATGTGATCGAGAGCATATAGGAAGGATTAGCGTATTGATCACTTCCTGTGGATGTAACGTATTATGGCCACATGGATTACTGGTGTAACTCCGATGTGTCTTCCGTTATTGAGAAAACGTTAGCCTGCATCGCAAAAGCCACTCGTGTATCAACAACACACACACACACACACACGTACTTCCTCTCTGCACATCTGGGGTTTGGCTGCCTTTTGGTGGCGGGTACCTTCACTCACATGTTGTGTGTGTGTGTGTGTGTGCGTGCAGCGGATATTTGTCGTGTGTGCCGCTCTGAGGGGACCCAAGACAAACCCTTGTACCACCCCTGTGTCTGCACCGGGAGCATCAAGTTCATCCACCAGGAATGGTAAGTGTGTTTGTCTTCTCAGCTGTCGTTCCTGTGACGCTGATGTTAGTGGGCAAAATGTTGTACGGTAAGGAGAATTTTGGAGATTGAAACCTATATGTAAGCCAGTACTGTGCAGGTCTACCGACTCAGGTGTTGGCCAAAGTGATGTCATATGTGTTTGATGATCAGCTGACTGGCTTACCTGAGAGTCCTGCCCTTCTCACAAAAGGCTGTGTTGGTGTAATTACTGTCGTCACGCAAATGATCTCTGAAACAACCGAAACGCCCCGTTGTTTGTCGTACCACAACTGAAACATGAGATGTTTCCACAGATCTAGATGACGGTTTTGGACATGCACATTTATTTTGATAGCGGCTGAAGGAAAGTTCTGTCAGGTTTACACTGTCAACCTTTCTCTTCGTCTCACAATGTCAACGACATTTCTGTTTTTAGATGGAGACATATGAGACACTTTATTAATCCGACAGGGGGAATTAGCAGTAGGTGCTGGACTGGATGGTCCGGGTTATCTAATAGGGATGCTAATTTCTTTCTTTAAATACTGCTTATGGAGTTATAGGTGTGCATGTTTTAATTGATATATGCTCTATAGCAGGTCTCCATTCCTGTTTTTGTAAAATACGTCTTAAAAAATCCCCAAATCACAAATGCAAAACAAACTATTGTTTTTTCTACCTTTTGACTTTCTAAATTCTCCACAGTTTGGTCCAGTGGCTGAAGCACAGCAGGAAGGAGTACTGTGAATTATGCAAGCACAGATTTGCGTTCACACCAAGTAAGTCCTCGTGGCAATGACGGCTTAAACATCTGAAACGGCCTCAGGTTTCCTAAACAAGTCTTGCATTTGATCATGCTTTTACCAAAAATAAATTTCAAACGCAATTTGGGGTATTTTTGAGAGCAGTATGAAAGATTATTAAACATTTTACTAAAATGTCTGTTTCTCTCTCTCTCTCTCTCTCTCTCTCTCTCTCTCTCTCTCTCTCCCTCTTTACGCTTCAGTCTACTCCCCAGACATGCCCTCACGTCTGCCCATCCAGGACATCTGTGCCGGCCTGCTGACCAGTGTGGGCACGGCCATCCGCTACTGGTTCCATTACACGCTGGTGGCCTTCGCATGGCTCGGGGTGGTTCCTCTCACTGCATGTCAGTAATACATATATACAAATACGGCAATCTCCTTACTGCTGGATTACATCTTTCGCACAGCTCTGGCCAGTTGTTTATAGTTTTATTTATAGTTAATAAAAGCTCTATCTGATGTAGCTAAGCAGTTTGGTTCATAGTTTTGAAAGTAGAAGTTCATTATTTTGTATTAAGTGACCAGGAAGTAAGCTTCACACATTAGCTTGTGTTTGTGGTTTTAACCCGATCAAGGGAATTACAGCTTTAGCACCGTTACATAACAGGCAACGCTTTGCATGGTCAAAGATATTTACATCCTCCTCAGTTCTTACTGTAACAGAAAAAACTGCCTGATCAATTTAGTTCTCACATATTATGCAAATCGTTACAAAACATGATTTGTGTTTAACCTCCAAAAAAATGACACTTCCTTTATTTCTCTGGCTCAGGTCGCATCTACAAGTGTCTGTTTACCGGCTCTGTGAGCTCACTTTTGACACTGCCGCTGGACATGCTGTCCACGTGAGTGACGATCCCAGCCCTCCCCCACTAAAGGCCTCCTGCACATGTGCATGCTCTTCATTTCCATAACATCTACCTACCAAAGGTCTTTTTTCAGGCTGTGGTGTGTTTGGCTAAAGTGTCCCCGTCTTCGTGCTCCCGCAGAGAGAACCTGCTCGCTGATTGCCTGCAGGGCTGCTTCGTGGTTACTTGCACACTGTGCGCCTTTATCAGCCTGGTGTGGCTCAGAGAACAAATAGTCCACGGTGGCGCTCCTCATTGGTTGGAGCAGCACCAGCAGGCACCGCCTAATGCAGCCGGTCAAGCCAACGAGGTACTTTGTTTGATCGATTGCCTGTCTTTATTGTTTAAAAAAAAAAAAAGGGCAAAGGGAGAACCAATAAAACTTGACAGCAACAAATAAACTCTGTTTAAGACAAACATTAAACAGAAGATATTTGTAGTGTTTAAAAAGAGTTCTGTGTGTTGTGTTACTGTGTGCATGTGTTCCCATCCAGCTTGCGATTCACCGCCCTGACATAAGTAATAATAATAACTCTATACGCCTCTTTTCCCCTCAACCTCAGGCGCCGGCTGCAGGCCAGGGAGCAGCCGACGAGCCGCCCGCGGCCCAGCCAGCCCCTGCTGACCCGCCGGCTCCAAATGAAGCGGAGCCCGAGCCTCCCGACGTCCCCCCGGACCAGGGCGATGAGCCAGAGCTGGAAGAAGAGGAGGGAGCAGCCGCCGAAGATGCTGACCCCAACAATGGAGCACAAGGTTGGAACTTAGTACATTGGTCTCAAATATTTTTCTTCTAGTTATAACTTTGGTTAGTGCTGAACAGTTGTGTGAAGTGTTTTAGTTCCTACATAGATATCCTTCTTAGACGTGAATCAGCACAGACAAACAATGATTAAGCTCATAAATCACATTTCGCGATCAGTTCTGCCTGGTAAGAATTTATGGAGACGCCCTTTGATGCATTACCTCATTTTATTTTATTGCTCAACATCATAAAACACTGAGAAAGTGGTGCACTTCATGCTCAAATTAATTAAAAAAGACACATCAAAAACGTAATGAATATAGTGTTTACAAAGTGTTTTGTCCC